AGTTTTTACCCACAGAATAATATCACTCCGTAACTACTGCATTAAGCACTTGTGTAACATCTAACATCCTTACCTACAGATGCTTTTAGGAGGTCAAGTCCTGAGAAGGAATACTGGGTAGGCAGGTATACTTTCTATATCAATAGCCCTTGCTAGATTACATTTCAGAAGTCAGTATTTTCATCACAATGTATGGGTACCACTCTTTATGTATTTATTTGAAAGGCAGAGTCAGAAAGAGAGAGAGATCTTCTGACCACTGGTTCACTTCCCAAATGGCCACAATGGCGGAAGCCAGAAGCTTCTTCAGGGTCTCCCATGCGAGTGATGGGCTCAAGTAGTTGGTCCATCTTCTACTGCTTTCCTAGGCCAATAACAGGGAGCTGGAGAGGAAGTAGAGCAACTGGGACTCAAAAGCAGCACCCATTTAGGATACTGGTGCCACAGGTGGCAGCTTTATCCTGTAGGCCACAGCACCAACCCCCAAATCATTCTTTTTTTGACAGACAGAGTTAGACAGTGAGAGTGAGAGAGAGAGAGAGAGAAAGGTCTTCCTTTCGCTGGTTCACCCTTCAAATGGCTAATACGGCCGGAGCTATGCCGATCTGAAGTCAGGAGCCAGGTTCCTCCTCCTGGTCTCCCATGCGGGTACAGGTGCCCAAGCACTTGGGCCATCCTCTACTGCCCTCCTGGGCCACAGCAGAGAGCTGGACTGGAAGAGGAGTAGCCAGGACTAGAACCCAGCACCCATATGGGATGTCAGCACCGCAAGCGGAAGATTAACCAAGTGAGCCACAGTGCCAGCCCCCAAATCATTCTTTTAAATGTCTCTCAACCTACATACTGAAAAAGAAAACAACCATAAAACCTTAACATAAAACAAAAAATAAGTATCAGAAAATTCAGAGTACCTTGATGAACAGAAGCTAACCGTGATGAGAAGCCCACATTCACTTGAAGAAAGGGAGCCTTGAAGCTACAAAGTCCCCTAAGCCCAAATCTTTACCATGGGCCTAGTCCACTCTTACAGCAGGCGCAGCAGTAGCAGAAGCAAATGTGGAACACTCACAACCTTTCTGGCCTAGGAATCAAACAAGTAAGGTTGGGGAAAAAAAAAAAAAAAGTTGGGCATAGTGGGGGAATCCCAGAGAAAGTACTAGGGAGAATCTGACTACCCAAATCGCTGACTTCCCACAGAGAACTCAAAACAGCAGCCAAAGACAAAACACCTAGGCTGATAAAGGAGCTGCCTCACTGAAGTGACATCATCCAGAAGCCCCAGAGCTGGCACTCACAACGTCCAAAATACAACCCGGAAGTACTCAACATATGCAGAACCAAGAGAGCGGGATACATCCTCCGAGAAAAGAAAATCACTCAACGCCTATCCAAAAAGAACCAGATGCTGGGACAAACAAGGGGCATATAGCTATCCTCAATATTCTCAATATCCTCAATCATGAAGTTAAACAAAATAAGTTTTCAATGAATGAAAACTCAGCACAGAAAGAGAAACAAAAATTCAGAAAGAACAAAAAAAGTCACGGGATGAACTGTCCAGTCAAATGGACAAACAGAGATAACAGGTGAATCTGAAGACAGCCTCAGGCCAGGTCATAAAAGATGCTGAGGCTCCTGGGGCTTCTTAGCTCACTGGGGGAGTCAGCCACCTGGTCTTGAAGACATTCACATGACCCAAGAGAAGGACAAAAGGTGAGGAGTCAAGGCCCCCAGCCAAAGGCAGGAAGTGAGTGTGACAACCCCAGTCAAGCCTTCAAGTAACTGCAGAGCTGGCTGACACACCAGCCACCACCTCACAGAAGACCCTGAGCCAGCATTGCCCAGCTAAAGGGTGATTTTTCACACTCAGAAACAGTGTGAAACAATACAGCTCAGTTTTCTTAACTGCTCAGTTTTGCAGGTAATTTGTTACTCAGCAATAGATAACTTAATATACCATCTTAGAACCCCCCCAAATCAATAGTTTATTGAGTAGTTAGGGCCAACCAATTAAATAAGTACTTATGTGCTAATAACCTAATAGTCACATAAAATAAAAGCAGCTAACTAAACTTTGAATGAATGCACAGGCAAACAAATACGTAACACACATAGATAGGCACACACACGATTTCAACTGCACTGAAAATACAGTCCAGGGGCAAGCATTTAGCCGGCAGTCCAGGTGCTGGTTAGGATGCCTATGAGAGGCAGCAGCGATGGCTCAAGTAGTTGGGTTCCTGACACCTTCGCCGAAGACCTGGATTGGTTTCCTGGCTCCCATCTTTGACCCAACCCTGTGCCTCAGCCCAACTCTGGCCTTTGTGTGAATTTGGGGATGGAACCAGTACATGGGAGTATGTGTGTACATTGTGAGCTCTCTCCCAAATAAACAAACAAATATTCCAAATAATAAATAAAGGGAATTTCACAGTAAGGAGGTTATCATGGTTTCTGTTAGAAATAAATAAAAAGATCATCATTTAAAAAATGAAACAAAAGACACAAATGCATCAAAATTTCAGCAAACAAAAACACGATTAAAAACACAAAGTAAGTTCATCAACATACGCAAAGAGGCTTGAAAAAAAGAGAAGAAAAAGGAAATTAAAACCAATGTCAGTTACAATGAAAAATCCACCAGACTCACAGAATCTAAAACTCAGCCATGCAAGGGATGGGGACATGTATGCAACCGCAACTTTCACACAATGAGAGAATAAGTCATACAACTACTTTGTGAAAACAGTGATGCAATATCTGCTAAAGCTGAACACACACATACCCATCCTATGATTCAGGAACTCTACTCCAATGAATATATCCTGAAGAAACTCTCTTACTAGTGAGTGTGCCAGGAGACAACACACAACAATGTTCATGGCAGCCTATTTCATGATAGCAAATTATAAAAAAAAAAAAAAAAAAAAAAAAAAAAACACACAACTATCAACAGCAAAATGGATGAGCACATTTTGGCATGTTCATATACTGGAATATATTATTACAGTGAAAAGAAACAAACTGCTATGGTGGGTGTCTGGCAAAACAGTGAGGACTCCACTTGGGACCACGGCATCCCACGTCAGAGTGCCCAGGTTCCTCCCCTGGCTCTACTCCCAGTTCCAGCTTCCCTCTAATGCACACACTGGGAGGCTGTAGGCTGATGGCTCAGGCTGTAGCATCCCTGCTACCCAGGCAGGAGTTCCTGGATCCTGGCTTCTGCTCGGCTCGTGGCTGTTGGGGGCATATAGGGAGTAAACCAGCAGATGGAAGACTCCTGTCTCTCCCTCTCTCTCTGTGACTCAAATAAACACATAATTTTTAAAAAAAAATAATCGTAATACAAAGCAAAAAAAGTCAGATTTATAAATGAGTTAATTTATGCAAAATCAAAGAAAACTAAATCATATTTATATACATATACATAGATAATACTGTAAGAAGACACTTAACAAAATATGAAATAGTTATTGGGGAGGGGTAGAAGACAGATATAAAAAAGGGTTCACAGGAGGCTCTAAAAGGTTTTAATCATTTTTCATTTCTAAAAATGGCTGATGATTAAACAGGTTACTTGTTTTATTATCTTTATACTATACACATAAAGGATGAACATATAATAGACAAATTTTGCAATACAAACACATAAATGGCAGGTGGTCTAATGGGCATACAAGTTTTCACAAGTAGCACAAGAATTAAAAAAAAACAAACAAACTTTTATTTACCCATGTGCTTTACCTGTCAAAGCACTGATTCCTCAAGAATAAAGACATACCAAGTGGGCCTAGTACATAACAAGCATTAATGCTGAAAGTATATGACTAAAAGGATGGTAACCTTTTAAAAAGATTTATTTTTATTTATTTGAAAGGCAGAGTTACAGAAAGAGAGAGGCAGAAACAGAGAGAGAGATCTTCCATCCGCTGGTTCACTCCCCAAATGGCTGCAGACCGAAGCCAGAGCCAGGAGCTTCTTCTGGGTCACCCACATGGGTACAGGGCCCCAAGGACTTGAGTCCTCTTCTGCTGCTTTCCCAGGTGCATTATCAGGGAGCTGGATAGGAAGTTAAGCAGGTGGGAACCCAACTGGCACCTATATGGGATGCTATCACAGATGGAAGCTTTACCCACTATGCCACAATGCTGGCCCCCAAAACGGTTACTTTTAAATTCAGAAAATATTGGGTACTACTTTTGTCAAGGAAAAGTATTTAATGATCTTGATGTATACTATTTTCATAAAATAACAAACTGTATTAAATTTATTTTCCCCAAAAAGCAATGAGTCACTGAGTCATAGTTCAGTTTTCCTTAAACAGTTACACATTGAATATAATAGAACACAGGCTAAAATAAAAACAGCAACAGCAACCTACTTAGTACCTCTTGGTTAATATCTAGTTTTGTATCATTAGTAATACAGAAAATAAACAGATTTTAAATCTTCCAGTAGACAGAAGTCTATGCTTCATCAAATCCCACACTGCATTAGCCTTATGAGATCAAAATCCTTCCAAGATTTAAACAAACAAGAGGAGGAAACAGAAGCTGGCATTTTGCCACAGCAAGTTAAGCAGCAGCCTGCAATGCCTGCATCCCATATGGACGCCTGTTCAAGTCCTGACTGCTCCACTTCCGATCTAGCTCTCTGCTGTGGCCTGGGAAAACAGTAGAAGATGGCCCAAGTCCTGAGCCCCTGTACCCATGTGGGAGACCCAGATGAAGCTCCTGGCTCCTGGCTCCAGCCTGGCCCAGCTTTGATCTTTGCAGCCATTTAGGGAGGAAATCAGCCAATGGGAGACCTCTCTCTCTCTCTGCCTAACTCTGCTTTTCAAATACATAAATTAAAAAAAAAAAAAGAGGAAATAAAATTTGACCTTATATTTCAAATACTCAATAAACTACTAATGTATTACAGATAACTTGTATCAAATGAATAAAGGCCCATTTAAATTCTGACTTCTAAACAGCATCAGAGGCTATACGTAATCTTACCTGGGGAGGATAGTTACTCTCTGAAGACCACCTTGAAGATTGGTCATTTGGTTTATCCACTAAAATGTTCCTGAAATAAAGAAAAGAAAATTGTAGCAATTAATTAAAAGAACAGATGAAAACAGACAAAAATAATAAACTACCAGCTAGTGAAAGTAAGAATAGAAAATAGAATAAGCACCACAGGACCGGCACCGCGGCTCACTAGGCTAATCCTCCGCCTTGTGGCGCCGGCACACCGGGTTCTAGTCCCGGTGGGGGCGCCGGATTCTGTCCCGGTTGCCCCTCTTCCAGGCCAGCTCTCTGCTGTGGCCCGGGAGTGCAGTGGAGGATGGCCCAAGTGCTTGGGCCCTGCACCCCATGGGAGACCAGGAGAAGCACCTGGCTCCTGCCATCCGATCAGTGTGGTGTGCCGGCCACAGCGTGCCAGCCATGGCGGCCATTGGAGGGTGAACCAATGGCAAAGGAAGACCTGTCTCTCTCTCTCTCACTGTCCACTCTGCCTGTCAAAAAATTAAAAAAAAAAAAAAAAAAAAAAAAAAAAAAAAAAAGAAGCAGCACCACAGAAAGATAAAGGTGGAATTTCAAACAATGGAAAAAGTAAGTTTTTATAAGGTAACTTTTTTATTCAAAATGAGTTCTACTATAATAAATTGGGACATATAAAGCAAAAATAAAAGAAAAAATTTGGGGAGGAAGAAGATAGCATGACATATAAATGAATTCCTTCATCTTTAACAGTTCTTAGGAAAAAACAATGTTTCTATGGTTGATAAAAAGAAAAAAAGATTTAAAACTACTAAAGTTTAAGACTGAATAAAGAAAAAATACAATCACCTTACAAATTGAGACAGAAAATCAACAAAAAAAAACTTGGTAATTTTTACAAAATACAGAAAATAAAAGATTAAAGCTGAAAACATAAAAACAGTTTAAATAAAATGACAATATTTACACCAAATACTGAGAGCCATACATACAAATGTCTTAAAATAACATTGCAAAATATTCTTTGCAGGTAAATAAGTCAACACAATATCTACATAAAGGCACACATATAGTATCAAACAGAGTCATGACAAAGAAGATACACCAGACAGATTACACTTTCTAAAACTGAGCAGAATACAGGCCGGCGCCGCGGCTCACTAGGCTAATCCTCCGCCTAGCGGCGCCGGCACACCGGGTTCTAGTCCCGGTCGGGGCGCCGGATTCTGTCCCGGTTGCCCCTCTTCCAGGCCAGCCCTCTGCTGTGGCCAGGGAGTGCAGTGGAGGATGGCCCAGGTGCTTGGGCCCTGCACCCCATGGGAGACCAGGAAAAGCACCTGGCTCCTGGCTCCTGCCATCGGATCAGCGCGGTGCGCCGGCCGCGGCGGCCATTGGAGGGTGAACCAACGGCAAAGGAAGACCTTTCTCTCTCTCTCTCTCTCTCACTGTCCACTCTGCCTGTCAAAAAAAAAAAAAAAAAAAAAAAAAAAAAAAAAAAACTGAGCAGAATACAAAACAAAAACTATCAGGTGAAAACAGTAACACAATGACATAATCTGCCATGGTAATAATCCAAACAAAACGAAAATAAAGCAAAGATAACAGTAAAGATAAGAAGAAACTGATCTAAAAAATAGGAGATTACTGTCTCTCAGCATCTGAAAAATTATTAAACAAAAAACAAGCACCTATATGTTCAAGGCAGTTGGAAGGAATATTATGAAGAAAAATAAAGGGAGAAACAGACCTGAACGGTGTGAGGGAGTCAGCCAAGGCACAATCTGAGAAATGAGCAGATGGACCACTAAACGCAAAGGCAAGCGGGGCAACAGCTACAGTACGTCCTGGTCCTGTGAATTTGACAGGCCTGCAAGACCGCCCTCTGGAGAGAAAAGGCAGCTGGATATCTAAGGCTGGAATTCAAGAGAGATAACAGGACCAACCAAGATACACGTTTTTAGGGGTGGGCAGCTAGCCTAGCAGTTAAGACGCCCACACCCCACAGGGCAGCATCAGGTTCTATTCCCAGCTCCCTGCCGCAGCAAACAACGGGAAGCAGTGCAGACGCTCAAGTAACTGAGGACACCTGGACTGCACTCCCCTTCCAGGCTTCAGCCCTGGCCCAGCCTCAGCCCAGCCTCAGTCAGGGCAGGCATCTGGAGAGTGAGGCAGTGGATGGGAGCATTCTCGCTTTCTCTCTCTCTCTCTCTCTCCCTCCTCCCCTTTCCCCCCATTCATGTGGGTGCGCTGTCTCTCAGTCACTCTGCCTCTCAAAAATTAAATTTTAAAAGTTAAAACAGAATATTTCTGGAGAAATTTCTATATAAAAGATATAAAGAAGCATATGACTCCGTGTAAAAATTATTTTTATGAAATTATATAAGGCAAGTACAAATACAAGCCCAGAATGAGAAACATCACGATCTTCCTTCAATGCATTTCCACGATCCTGCAGGCAGATGAGAAGTTAGTTTAAACACTGCCTAGTAACTTGAGCCCTCACCGACATTTAAGATCACTTACCACTATGGAAGCATAGTAAAAAAAAAAAAAGATGTGGAGAGACAAAGAAAGATCTTCCACCCACTGATTCCCTCTCCAGATGCTCACAGCAGCAAGGCTGGTCCAGGCCAAAGCCAGGAGCCAGGAAGGAACTCTATCTGGATCTCCCATATGGATAACAGGAAACAAGTACCAGGTTCATCCTCTGCTGCTTCTCAGGGCCATGAGCAGGAAGCCATGAACAGGACAACTAACAGTGTAGGACTACACTGAGACTCGACACGGAAGGCAGGTATCCCAAAGAGTGACTTAATAGAACACAACACCTGACCCAAAAATGTTCATTATTATCCTACCTTATAAAACTCCCAAACACCTGTAAAACTTAGAGGTATCACCTATTAAGGCTCAGGACTAAGCAAGAGTCAGTAATCTTTCATAGACATATTTCAATCATGATACCAGGTCACTGTCCCTGGGGTTTTATGTTTTGTCTTAATTTACTTGACAGGCAAGGGGCAGGGAGAGAGTTCTCACCTAAAGTTCATTCCCCAAATGCTGGCAAAAGCCAGGGATGAGCCAGGTCAGTCAGGAACGCAATCTAGGTCTCTCCTATCAGTGGCATGAACCCAATTACCTAAGCCAGCATCACTGCCTCCCAGCATCTCCATTGGTGGGAAGCTGGAATTGGTAGCTGAACACAGGCATTCCCATGTGGAATATGAACATCTTAACCTGCACCTTAACCCATGTCTTGATCACTAGACCAAATATCCACCCCTTTCTGGTTTCTTAAGAGGGGAAATATCTCATCCACAACCATTGTCATACTTGTGACTTTCCCCTTATAATTATCTCAATGAGAGATAATCCACACTGCTTATTTCCTAAGATATGAGATGGGCCAATAGTAAAATAAAATTATGACAAAAATGTATAAATAAACAGAATCAATGAAACAGAGAAATTAAACAGTGATAGTTAAAGCTGTAAAAGGAAAATAAGCCAGTCTTTAATATCACAAGGATGTAGCAAACATAGAAATAGAAGAAAAGACATTAAAAGACCATGAACAGGGCTGGTACTGTGGTGTAGCGCCTGCAAGGCCGACATCCCATATGGGCGCCGGTTCAGGTCCCAGATGCTCCACCTCTGATCCAGCTCTCTGCTATGGCCTGTGAAAGCAGCAGATGATGGCCCAACTCCTTGGAACCCTGCACCCATATGAGAAACCCAGAGGAGCTCCTGGCTCCTGGCTTCGGATTGGCTCTGGCCGCTGCGGCTAATGGGGGAGTGAACCAGTGGGTGGAAGATCTCTCTCTCTCTGACTCTCCTTCTAACTCTTACTTTGAAATAAATAAATCTTAAAAAAAAAAAAAAAAAATGAACTCTACGAAATAACAGACTAGAAATTGATGACTTTAGTTCTAGTTGCCAGGAGTCTCTGCTTCTGGCAATCAAAATAATACAACCAGAACACTCTTTTATGAATGTTCACTAATACTACCATCTAGAAAAATAAATAAAAAGAAAAATTATAACAGTCATAATTCAGTACCAAAACTACAGAAGTAATAAGATTTACATACTAAGATTAAATTAAGTATCTACCGTTTTAGGACGTATTTAAATGCAACACCCAAATAATAATTCAAAACTGGTCAAGAAAACTGGAAAGGGAAATGGATCAAGGACTAAAATAGCTTCATATTTTTATGAAGTTAATTTCAGTTTAAAATGCATTTATATTTCTTCCAATGTTGGATGAAAACTAAAAGAGAATAAAAATGAGGAACATTTTAGGTCTCTTAGGCAAAGACCACAAAGGCAAGGTTGTAATTAAATACTTATATGAAGACTACAAAATTTACAGTGAAACACATAAGGGTAACTTAAAAACAATCCAGTGCTAACTTTTTCCTACTGTACCAACACATACTACCAAAGTCAGGAGAGGCTGGTATTGTGGCTCAGTGGGTTGAGCAGTGCAGTCTGTGAGGTGGGTACAAGTCCTGGCCGCTGGGGCCGGCGCTGTGGTGTAGCAGGTTAACACCTGGCCTGACGCACCAGCACCCCATACAGACGCTGGTTCTAGTCCCGGCTGCTCCACTTCCGATCCAGCTCTCTGCTATGGCCTGGGAAAGTAGTAGAAGATGGCCCAGGTCCTTGGGCCCTTGCACCCCTGTGGGAGACCTGGAAGAAGTTCCTGGCTCCTGGCTTCGGATTGGCACAGTTCTGGCCATTAGGTCCATCTGGGGAGTGAACCATCAGATGGAAGACCTCTCTTTTTCTCTCTCTGCCTCTACTCTTTCTATGTAACTTTGACTTTCAAAATAAATAAATAAATCTTAAAAAAAAATAACAAACCCCAGCTGCTGCACTTCAGATCCAGCTCCTGCTAATGTGCCTGGGAAAGCAGCAGAAGATGCCCAAGAAGTGCTTGGGCCCTGCCCCATATTGGAAACCAGATGGAATTCCTGACTCCTGGTTTCAGCTTAACCCAGCCATGGCTGTTGATTTATCTCTCCCTCCCTCCCTTTCTCTCTGCAATTCAAGTAAATAAAAATAAATAAATTAAAT